CCTTATGTCGGTAGAATCCAAATACAACGACACAAAAAATTTCATGTTTTCAACAATTTTTGGAAACATTTTGAGATTAGATCTGCGTGAGAGTTCAAGATATTTAAGAGATTTTAACTTGAAGTAGCTTTGTCTAAGGTCCAAGGTAACAAGGCTATCCAAAGATCCAATAGTCTCGTGAATCACTCTTAAATTTGTGCATTTTTTAAGATACAATTTTTTAATGTTTATTGTCGTAGAGAAGTAAAAAATTTCTTGAAGCTTTTTGGAGTGAGAAAAATTCAAATATCTAAGAAATTTCGGTGAAAGATAGCTGAGAGGCTTTCTAAAGTTTGGGCAAGTGTTACCCACCGAATTATTAACAAAAAGCTTTAAAATGTCTTCTACCAACCACAATCTACTCCTTTTTCCAATACTCAGGCGATTCACCATTAACTATTTTATGACCCATCTGTCGGATTAAATCATGCATTTGCACCTTATTATTTTCAATCATAATAAGTGAAAGATTCTCGAGGAGTAAAATTTCAAAACTTTAAGTCAACTTTTTATCCCACTAGAAAACAAGAAATATCAACGAAAATCTCCTTTATTTTTTCTTCAAGCCCATCAAAAACTCTGCTGGGTCTCTTTGGAACATAGGAAAGTACCCAAAACACAAAGAGCCAAAGGAAGACCTTTACAATAACTTGTAGCAGTTTTAAAAGGTCTAAGTAATTACTTGGTGGATGACATTGGTGGATGACATTTCTTAAAAGCATGTTAACTAAAAAGTTTAAGTGTGTCCTCATCATCTATTACTTGAATACATACGGCTGATCAAATTCATGGATAGAAAGTAAATGGTTGCTTCTTGTTGTCATAATGATTACACTACCAAGGCCAAACCGATCATGTCCACCAACCAATGCTTCTAGTTGCTCAAGCTTATCCACATCGTCAAGAGTTATAAGAACTTTCTTTGAATGTAAGTCTATTCCTTATCATGTTGATTCCTCGGTCAAGATTACTAAAATCTTCGAATCTTCCTTTAAGATCTCATGGAGTAGGATTTCCTGGAGTTGAACAAGGACATTTTTGAAGCTTCCCTAACATTCGATTGAAAGCAGCAAGCTTCAAATTGGTGAGCAATTTTGTTGTATAAAGCTTTGGCCAAAGTCGTCTTACCAATACCTCCATGTTTCATATATTGAACAACAAAGTCTCCACTTTCTGCATGGTTCATACATTTCCAACTAGGTTCTCCTCTAATATCATCTTCTTTTATATCCACCCTTACAATTCTGTCAAATCGGTAAAGAATCTGTTGCTTGTGATATTACTTCCTATTTCACTGCCTATGACCATTCCAAAACTTCACCGTCACGTGCCTAGAGAAATTAAGTCAGGATCTCAATAGAATACTGGCTTTTCGCTATGCCATTATCTCCTTGGAATATTGGCTTTTGGCTAACCAAAGGGGCCTTGTTTCTTATTCATACTTTCTTATTTTTTTTTAAGAGTTTGCTTGCTCTTTGTCGATGTTCTTAGCTTATCCGTAAGAGTTTCTCTCGAACAGAAATCATAGAAATTTGTTTATTAGAGGATAAATTATATGTTTTAAGGCATATGATTTAGTTGTATATGTATATTCAAATGATTTTTTTTTATTTAATTATAGTTATAAATAACTTATGAAGGATGGATTTACATCAATTAATTATATTTATAAACCTCTCGATTAATTATATTTATAAATCAATTGTCTAGATAATTTAAGAAAATGATTTAGATATTTTAGGAATAAAATTATTAAGATTTAGAAATAAAGTATTTTAGTAAAAGAATTTAAGTATTTTATCAATAAATCATCGGCCTTTATCTTCCACTCCACCTAGTTTTAATCACAAATAAATCTTGAACAATTCAAAAAAATCTTAATCAATCTAGAAAAGGAAATGGTAGTATTAAAAGAAAGTGCAATATTATTTCAAAAATGTCTTATAATCTAAACTTAAATGATAATAATTAAAAACAAAGCATAGACATTATAAAACAAAAAGATTTGTTGATAAAAAGGCAAACCCTTAACAATTTTGACAACTAATCAAGCCTTATCGAAACAATCAATAATACCGCTCGAAAGAATGAAAGTAACAATAACGCAAGAAACCAACCAATAAAGTTGGTAAGGATGTAATTTCACTCATCGGGCTTGGCAATTCCTCGGGTCGATAAAAAACTATATAAATTATCGCTAACCATCCCGCATCGTTTTCTATCTCATCGACATCTTTAGTAACATGGACATCACAATTTTTTATAGTTCCATTAACCACAAAGAATTCCAAAACATCAAACCAGACTAACATGATTCCAGTCATTTGCCATCAATGAAGTACTAAAATTTGAAGAAGTAGTTGATATTAACAACATATAAATTCATTAAGGATGAAAATCCTCTCTTACAAGAACTTTGGAGTTGATCACCATAGCATATGTTAAAAGGAAATTATGGCCTGCCCCAAGTATGGTTGCTTTTCCATTTCGTCCACTTTGAACAAAGCATAGGTAGTTAAAGTTCTTTCCATGTTGAGATAGTATCCAAAGCTAACCTTCATTGGATTTAATATAGTCCGATAGTTGAACCTTTTCAGAATTTCGCCGTTGATTAGAAGAAATGTCTATAAATACCTGGAATGACCTATAAAGCATATGAATAGTACCGATTCAGAGAAGAGAAATGAAGTGGGAAGAGACAAACCTACTTGATCTTAATTGGATTTCTACTCAACGATCCACAACCAGTGGCATCCATTTCTTGGAAACGCTGAGGAAAGTTTTGAATTTCTCGACTCGGGATACCATAACGGCGTAAACTTATGGAGACATGAAGGTGGACTAGAGGATATATTTTCCGACAACATTCGATTAGAGAATTTGTTCTTCGACGAGAGTAGACCAAATGAGAAAGGGGCGACACCACACAAGTTCATAAAATCAACATTTGATATTTTGCAATTTTCAAGCTCAAAAATTGTGAACTCAACAAAGTGTCAATGATTTGGGGAAGAGCATACTGGATCGTTGGTTGGGTCCCATTTATTGGGTAACATTTCAATTCTGGAACACCCATTAAGACGAAGATGACGAAGATTCAGTAGCAAATAAATGGTATTAGGGAGGGAGATGACGTTTGTGCACCCTTCAAGGTCTAACACAGCGAGATCACTAAGGCATCCAATTGTTGAAGGTAGCTCCTTTGTGGCCGTAAAATCCAAATCCAAAATCCTTAAAGATTTCATGTTTTCGGCAATTTTTAGAAACTTTTCGAGCTTAGAACACCTAGATAGTTTTAAATATACAAGGGACTTTAACTCGAGGTAGCTTGAAAGCTTTTCAAGGTTAGTTCATTTTGTAAGCTTCAAGATACGAAGACTCTATATTTTTATGCAACTATTGAGATATAAATTTTTAAGGTTTGACGATGGGGAGAAGTTTGTAAGTTCCTCAAGTTTTTTTTTTTTTCTTTCTTTCTCTCTTTCTTTCCGTATCTAAGCTTCAAAATTTTAAGAGATTTCGACCTGAGATAGCTTGGAAACTTTTTAAGATTCGAACAATGATTATAAAATTTTAAGAGATTTCGACATGAGATAGCTTGGAAACTTTTTAAGATTCGAACAATGATTAAGGTATAAGGTAACAAGCTTACCAAGAGAAACCATTGACGTAGGAATGGTTCTCAATTTTGTGCAACTGTTAAGATACAATTCTTCAAAGTTTGACGATATTGGAGAGAAGTTACGAATTTTCTCTAATGAATTAGAGTAACTAAGATCAACAAACTTCAACCATTGTCAATCCTAAAATACATGGAAAAGAAAAATCTAATTTAGATAAAATATTATTATAAGAAAATCAATGAAAATTTTCGAATCATAAAGGTAGCAATATAATTATCTTCGATTCTTTCCCCAAATTTTTGATGAGGCTATGTTGCAAATCTAATCCAACCAGATCTTTTGTAATAAAGAAAGATGGCAAAGATTTTTAAGCAAATCCACGCCATTTAATCCACTTTTAAGTTATTATGTAGATATTCAATATTAGTGAAAAATCTTGCATTTTGGACCATTAGCAATCTTAGGTTTTTCATGTTTCTAAAAGCTCGAGGATCAACATCCAACCTTGTGGGTTTAGGTAACTCCAACTTTATAGCTTTAATTGCATCGGTTCCCTACAAACTCATAGTTTAGTAATTCAACATTACTATCGACTTACTTTTGACAAACATTTTCGATCACCAAGTATAGCAAACAAGTAAATTAAAGAAAGTTTGGGTAAGTGCTACTCACTGAATTATCATTGAACACCTTTAAAACATCTTGTACCAACCACAACCTACACCTTTTTTCAGTCTCATAAGATTCTACATTGACTATTTTTTTACCCATCAAAACTTATTTCAAGCGGATATTGATGTCTTTATTCAAAGAGTTTTCAAATTCATCTAATATACTTGTCCATTCTCCTTGGTGGTATCTAGTTCAAAGGAAAGAATCCAAAACAACAAGAGCCAATGAATGACCTTTTACAATAACTTGTAGCACGTTTTGAAACGTCTAGGTATGTACTTGGTGGATGACTTTTCTTAAAAGCGTGTGAACTAAAAAGTTTAAGGGCATCATTGAGATTCATTCTTTGAATACGATACTTTTCATCAAATTTGTGGATAAAAGTAAATGGCGGTTTCTTGTTGTCACAATGATTATACTATTATTTCTATAATATTATTCATATTTCTTATTATTTTTGGAGTTATCTAACCATTATAATCAGAATCAAGAAGAATCACAACAAACAGGAAAATTGATTTGAGTATTAAAGATTTATCACATTAGCCATGAAATCAATCAACTATAAATGTGTATTTCTTTATAAAATAATTTGTNTTATAAGCCAAGGACAATATTTACTAGCGGTGTACTAGGGCCGTTACAAAATTGAGAATTAGGGTAGGATCAAGAAGAAGAAAAGGGAAGAACCTTGGAATTTGTGGAGAGATAATGGTAAGCAAATTTGCCTTCAAGGCGATATTCATGCATAACCCAGTTACTCTTTTCACCCTTGGGAGCTCTTCCTCTGTAAAACACCAACGTCTTCTTCATCCCCACCAACGAACACGTTTTGACACTATAAATTTCCCTGTCTTTTCCGGTGGCTTTCCAGTACCCAGCCTCCGTCGCCCTGTTCGTCCGGAGACCGGTCGGATACTTCCGGTCTCTAAGGCTAAAGAAATACCACTCCTTCTCCCCCATTTTCGCTTTCTCTGATTAATTACGTAAAATCCTCTATTAATTAACGATTATAGACAACAAAATCAAATGGGGTTCGTTGAAATCAAGAGATAATGAAGCTAATTACCGGGAAGCTCCCATGGCTCGCACTTATTGAGGTCGACCTCTGCAATGGCTCTGCCACTGAAGCTACTGTCGAGGACTTTCTTGAGAAGGTAGTAGGTGATGAGTTCCTCGTCGGTGGGGTGGAAGCGGAAGCCGGGGGGGAGGTGGTGGGGGTGGTGGTCGGCGGCGGCGGCGGCGGAGTCGTGGCGAGAGAATGAAGAAACGTCCATGTTGGAGAAGGAAAAACAGAGGAAACAGGGGGGAGGTCGGAAAAGGAAGAGGAACCCAGAAGAGAAAGCTCAAAACCCAAGTGGAAAATCCATGGAAGGGAGGGAATGGGGGATAAAAAGGGGAGGAAAGGGGGGGTTTCTCTCTCTACTGTAGAGAGAGAAAGTGATGTGGATGTGTATGTGTGAGGGTGGGAGGGAGTGGGGTTCTGATCTGAGTATGCGTGCGTGCGTGAGGAAGTGTGCAGGTATTCCTATGTCAGTGAAGAAAATCAAGTGAAAGGGAACTTTAAAGTTTTTTTTTTTTTTTTTTTTTTTTTGGTAGGAGAATCCAATTTAGAAAAGCTAATCCATGGAATCGGCCGGACAGCTTCTACACTTGAAATGTTCTGCCAAACGTGGAAATCTCAAGCTAATTGTGCTCTTCAATGGCTGACATGCATCCATATTTCCCATCCTTATCTTCCCTCTCAACTCTCCAGCTATTTCACGACACACCTGATTCACGGCGTTCACAAAATTCTTTACTATCACAAAAAGCCCTAACGGATTTTCTCTATCCCCTGTTTCATAGTACTCATTTGTCTTCTTCAATTCATCCAACACTCTTTTTTGTTCTCTTCTTGCTATCTCAACTTCTTCCGTTGCGGATTTCACAAATTCTAACATCTTTCTCTTGTATTCACCACCGCCTTCAATCGATAGAAGGTTTTGTATCTCTGAGATCTTGCTTAATAGATTAGGGCAAGTGATAGTGAAGGTTTCGTAGTCGATTGTGGACGCTTTCTTGACGTTAGAGAGCTCTAAGGTGAGTGATTCCATAGCTGATAATCCAAGTATTATGTATTCGATTTCTATTTCGTTTTCCGATTTGAGATTCTTTGAATTTGTGTTTGAGAATTGTTTTTTCCCTTCGAATTTTATGACTTCTTTGACAATGAAATGAAGCAATGTGGTTTTTCTATCCGTGCTTTTTACATCTGAAAGTCTTAAGAGTAAATTGAGATTGAAAGCTTTTGCATTACCTCTCGTTGTTCCTGAATTCAATCGGTTTCCAACTTTGAGAGTTGCTTCCAAGAGTTTAGTAAATAACCCTTTATTCATTAGTTCTTCGCAACCCCTACTAAGTGTTTGGGAAAAGTCCTTGAGTCGATTAAGCTCTGATTTGAAGCTTGATCTGAAAAACATGGCGTTTAGACGATGGAAGGCTGTCGGAAAATCTTTGAGAAGATGGAAAATGAAGGATTCTGCATCGTCAAGCCTTAATGGATCGCCATCAAATTCGAGGATTTGAGATTGTTCTTCTTTGGTTGGAGTGATCTTGACAAGCTTCTCGAGTGTGTCTGAATCGAGGTCATGTCCCTCCGTGAGAGCATCGAGAAGTTCTTGCCGAGTTATGGTGAGGGATTTAAGAATTATTGCAATGTTTCATGCCCTTCGAGAATCAAGAATGGAGATTAGCGCTCGTCCGCCATTGTTGAGGCCTCTTAGCTTTGTTGGCTGTTTCTTGTTTGTGGCAACATACTCGAACAAAGTTTCCATAAGGTTGCCATTAAAACTGAAAAAAAGAGATCAGACCGTAGTGAAAAACTCAAAGAAGAGAGCCAAATTGAATTATGATGATGGGTTATACCTGAAAGAACCTCCATCGATCTTGTCCCACACCGTAGGATGATCTACATTGGTATTGATCTTATCCCAATGTAAAGGCTTTAGTCTAGCCTGAACATTGCCGGATAAAGATGGCCCTGGATTGGCAACTGCCGTTGATGGTGGCTGTGGTGGGGGCATTGACGGAGGAGGAGGAGGAGGCAGCAATGGCAATACTCGTGAACTAGAGAGAGACCGGTCACGAACTTTGATTGAAGAAATTTGATGGAGCAAAGGAGTTTGTTGTACAATCTGAGGGATGGTTGATGATCCATCTCTTGCAAAACCCATTTCTTCATCTTCTTCATTGTTCTTCTTCCAATACATCACATCCAGACCATCTTCTTCAACAACCAATTCTTCAACAATCAATCCATTAAGCTTTCCTTCCAATCTTGTAAATTCTTGAGATTCTACTTGATGTTCCTTGAGTTTTGCAAGAATGCGTCTTCCAATGTAAAAGAGGAGACCCAGAGAAAGCAGAAGGGTAGCCGCTACAGTAGAAACCGCCACCGCTATAATGGTGCCTTTCGTCATCCTCTTCGGTTCTTGAAGTGGTGGATGTGGCGGCGGCCTTCTCCCGGAGATGGAGAGATTGTGTGTAGTATTATTGATGGTTGGGAAATGGAATGGCAGTGGAAAAGGGTAAGAAGCTTGGTTATTCTGAGGAGAGGAGTGAGCGGAAGAAAGAGGAATGATGGAAATGAGAAATAGAATGGAGTGGGGAAGAAACAGCCATGGCGAAAGGCTTACACCCATCAGAGTTTCCCAACGATTCTTGCAGGGAGGAGGAGTTGTTTCTTGTTTTGTCTTCTTCACTCGATTACAAAACTCTTGTTTTTGGCTTCTTCTTTGTTTACCCAAGCCTATATTTATGGTAGATTAGGCCATATTTAGCGAATAAAAAATAATAAAGAATTAATGGTATTCAACATAGTTATACACACATAAATTAATAATTCAACAAAAAAAAAATCTACAACATTCTATTTTATTCTTAATAATACTATTAAACTATAAAAAAAAGAAAAATAAAATGTTAAATAATTTCTTATTAATAATTTTCAAGTTTTTTTTAGTAGGGACTTTGTTACGCAAAGCCTGGTGCCTCGAGCTAGAATTATGCTCGTTTTTTCTCATAAGATAGATCTTCTTGAAGAGGAAGCGTTTCGTGCTCAATCACATGGGTAGGGTCTGTACGCTAGATGTCGATCACGATGATGGTCTGATGGCCAAGTACTAGAGGATGGAAGACCTATTGGGAGGAGGTGAACCACCTGAACTTGCGGCGCGCGAGCTTGAAGAAGAGGTGGCCAAGCTGCATGCCATCAGCGCGAATGAACCAAACACCTTCGTCAAAGTAGAAAAGAACTCATGCTGGCTGAAGGCAATGCAGGAAGAGATGACGTCCATCACTAGAAACAAGGAGTCTGGAGGATATGCGGCCGGGACACCGAGCCATAGGGTTCAAATGGGTCTTCTAACTAAAGCGTAACAAAAAAGGAGAAGTTGTGAAGCACAAGGCCCGTCTGGTGGCGAAGGGCTATGTCCAGAAGCTAGGAGCGGACTTCGAAGAGGTATTCGCGCCGGTGGCAAGGTTGGAATCTGTCGCCTATTGCTGGCGATCGCGGCACATCATTCTTGGGAGGTCCACCACATGGACGTGAAGTCCGCTTTCCTCAACAGAGAGCTGAAGGAGACCGTCTACGTCCGACAACCACCTATCTTCCTAGACAACCACAACTCCGACAAGGTACTGCGCCTGCAGAAGGCACTCTATGGGCTTCGACAAGCACCATGAGCCTAGAATGCGAAGCTCAACAATACCCTTCTGTCACTGAAGTTCAAGCGATATGCCTCTGAGCATGGCATGTACATGCAAGGCCACGACAAGCAGCGGTTGATCGTGGGAGTGTACGTTGACGCCCTCATAATCAGTGAAGGCGACATGGAAGTTCTTGGGAGATTCAAGAGGGAGATATCAAAGAACTTCAAGATGAGTGATCTCAGCATGCTCAGTTACTACATCAGCATCTAAGTGCAACAGAGTACTGCAGGCATTGTTGGCTTATTGGCCCTGGATCTCACATTAATTAATTTCAATGAATTAATTATTGATGTTTTGATGATAACAAACCTACTTTTAATTATTAACTATTTTCAGTTTTTTGAACTGTCCACAGTATAAGGTCGGGAATAACGATTACAACAACTTTTCAATTACTCAAATCAGAGCTAAAACGAAGAAATTAGAGTCGAGACAACATACCCGACGTGATGATATGGCAACAAAATCAAAATGATGGACAAATCAAAATATATCAAAGTATGACATTTATAATATTGGAAGAGTAACAAATGGTGGAGTTTTTCTTATTATTACATTTCTAAATAAAATTATTTTTACAAAATATAAATTTGAATATAACCGTTACTCACATCGAATTTTATTATTACTATATTATATTATTATATTATTATATTTTAAAATTTTAGTAGTTACTCACATCATTTTTATTATTATTATATTATTATATTTATAATAAATTTTGAATTTCATTTGACCGTTACTCACATAACTTTTTATTATTATTATATTATATTACTATTATATTAAAATTTTGAAATAAATGAATTTAGAAAATTTTCTTATTTAATTACTTTTAATCTCCACCTTCCATTATTCCTAACACAATCCAATGGTCAATATTCAATCCTACATTTTGCCACTTTTCTCCTCTATATAAACTCATCTTCCCCACATTTTTAAAACACACAACTTACATACATTCTTCAATCCTCATTTGTTCAAAGTCTCCATTGTTTGTTGCTCTCTCCAAGCTTACAAGTTTATTTCTTTTCATCTTATTCTTGAGAGAGATTACTGTTATATTGTGAGGAAATAGTTGTGAGTATCTCAAATTGTAAATCTACTCTTTGAGAGAGTTGTGGTGTGTTATTATCAAACTCAAATACTTGTATCGGTTTGATCCTGCGCCGTGGAAAGGATTGAGTTTGCTCTTGAACTCGTAAAAAGAGCGGTGTACCGATTTGGCTCTGATCCGTGGAAAGAGTCGGAAAAGTTCTTTATTCAAATTCCCAAGAGGCGCTTGGGGAGTGGAGTAGGTCGAGTTTGACCGAACCACTATAAAACTACGGTGTCATTTTCTCTAACTCTTT